ATTTGCGAGAGGAAGAGTTAAGTAAGATTACGATGATGTGTGTTAATTAAGTATTTATAGAATGTGTATCTCAGTAGCTACACGAATTAAGATGAGAATTCTCGTATTTTCTTCTTATTTATAAATAGTGTCGGAGTCGAGGAAAAATTTGAAACATCCAAGCCGGGAATCGAACCCGCGACCCCTGATTGGCAAGCCGGGACTCTATGCGCATAGCCAAAGCGCCTCCTTAACTTCCTCGTTGTTATTTTCTCCTTTTGATCAGCGTGGACGGCTCCGATTATTTCACAATTATTTTTTCAATTAGGTAGATATTCTGTTGCTTCTCCTCTTACCACTGTGCAACCTGTCACACCATTTAACTAATATATAATTCATCCATAGTGTCGTTAAATAGAAAACTGTCCAGCTTAACCGGTATTAGCGTAGTTTCAAAGATAGATACGATATCTCTAGCCCGGCGTATTAAAATGATTAATTGCTTGCAAGTCGTACACTACTTATCCTACTGTTCATAGTAGATTCTACGAGCAACAGTGTAACGAAAAAGAGAAGAAAGAAAGAAAAAGAAGAAACGCTTGCTTGTTCATCGAAGGATGTGCTTCCTGGGTGACTTCAGAAATGAGATTGACTGTTTAACTTCTTCATCTGATATTCCACTTCTCGTTTCACTTTGATTTATGCTTCATTCATGACTCTCATCGAACTGGTTAATATATGTAGGGAAGACATTTCGATGTTATCTTTGAACAGAGGAGAGTTCAGCTTGGTTCAGCTTAATTGGTTGCGTACATATACACACATGTGTATGCACAGTAGATCGACGTGAGTGTATAAGCGATTCTGCGATTACAAGTTACCTCAATGAACTACTTGCAAAGTTTATAAGATGCAATCTTCTACGAGTAACGATTCCTTCGTGAATACTCGTTATGATTTATGAAAAACAATGCACTTTCCAACTTTTCCGTCTCGTTTTCATATTACCCAGCTGTGAGTATAATGCGTCCATTTCAATATCGTTATTTAGCATATATTGTCCCTGCTGTTTCGAACATCACTGGTTAAACTGTTGAATTTACTATTAAAAAAAAGATACCAATTATCGAATAACCCAAATGTTACTTTATTTAGAACATTTTATTCGACGGTATACATTTATGGGAAATATTTGAAACATTTTTGAGGCGCCGAATCATGTGCGACCTTTATGACGATGCGTTAAACATCTGTGGTTTCCTGAGGGATAATTTCTGAAAAATGTGTAATAAAATGCTCGTAAAAAATTGTATAAAAGAAAAGTAGTATTACCAGTACCATTTGCTAGTATAGTCAGTGACCTTCTGCGGTTCCTTATAAAACTTCCTCAAAAACCTTGGCAATCTTGTGCAGGAGGAACTAATTAACACTTCACCATTGAACCTGTTTGGACTACCAATTCTACTTTCAGTACATGAACAAGTAAACACACCAAGCTAAAGCTGCTATAACATGCATTTACGAGTCTTTCAGCTGTTCGAGTCTATTCAAACGCAAGTACATCTTGAACTACTTAATTCTTTCCAAGAATTTCTTATTCGTCTATCGATCGCCGATAAATTAAAGCTTCCATAATAGCTTGCTAATAATCGAACAGTCCAAATTTTACTTCATTCAGAATATTTTATTCGGTAGGATTTATTTATTTAAAAAAAAGAAAAAGATGTTAATGGTATCATTGAAGAGTTATAACCAAATTTTATTTTACTTCGAATATTTCATTCAACAGTGTTCATATTATTAAAAATATTTTATTCGACACTATTCCTTCGCTGATCAACATTTTTTGAAAATTTCGTTCGCACCGTTGAAGGATTGTAACATGTCGAACTACTCCAAATTCAGTGCAACCAGCGTCCTTTCCTCAACAACACGATCCAACGATCCATCATCGCCCTCGTGGCCATAAATCACACCGGCGCGCCGAAATTATAAAATCCCCTCTGAACATTTCCGCGCGTGTGAAGCAACTCTCTGCGGCCCAGGATTTCTTTGGCTCAGGAAGAAAACGAATTCGGTCGCGGGTTCCCAGGCGCGTCTCGATCGATCGCGTTTCACGAGTCTCGTAAACTCGAGCGAAATGGCCCACGCGAAGAGAGGAAGAAGGCTCTCTTTGCGTGGTATCGGTGTTTGTGTGTGTGTGTGTGTGTGTGCACGCGAGGCAAATCGTGAAATCGTGGGCCCCTCCGGGGAAAATGCGCGCGGAAAATTAATGGACATCGTAGGTCGTGTGCGACTACATCGTCGCTGCTGGTAGCGCATGGAAGTTGGAGAACAAACGAGACAGAGACGGCTGATTATCATTCAAACGGCACAGGCGACCGGTGACTGCCCTTGGCCATACGGAAAGGCGACGCTTCGCAAACGAAACGTTTTAATGCCTGAAAGAGGAGACATAATTGTCGGTTCGCTTCTCGCGGTGTCGTTAAACTCGTTGAGCCACTGTCCAGGGTCAATATCCAACGATCCTCGGCCCATCCTCCGTGGTCGGTCCGTTCTACTTCTGGAGAACAGACTATCCGATAGATTCTTCTTCTTAATTGTGTGCGTGTGTCGTTGGTTTGTCGGGAGAGTGATCTTTTGAAAATGGTTAATTTTTTTAGAGAAAATAATTGTGAAAATGAGCTGTTTTTATCTGACAGAATGTTACAATTTAAAGTAGAGCTGTTTTAACCCTTTTTTCTTTAGTAGTGAAGATACACATAAACGATATTTCATTAGATTATTAGTTAGGTTGAGAAAGAAATGTTTGAATAAATAAATTTCAAACGGATTTCCTGGAAAATTGACTTTCGTTTAGTCGTGTGTCGATATGAAAAATAGTTTCTAGGTGTGATTGGTTCTTTTGTGTGTATTTTCTAGGAGTCGGGTTTTGGTGTAATGGAATTCGAATAAAAGAGGATAAAACAAGTTGTTTCTTCTTTTCTTTTTTTATACCGGACCAAGTGTGAGTTTTAGTGGTTATGAAGTGTGTTTAGTATCTACTTTATGGGAGAATTTGAATTAAAGAGTCAACTCCGTTTTATGAGGAGAATTATGCGAATACGTGACCTGATGGTATTTCTTTTTCAAATAAGAAATAAAGTACGAAATAAAATGCAATATCTTGTTTTACCTTTTTCTATTAATTTATACAAAAAAAAAAAAGAAAACAATTTACACAGAAATTTACTTGAAATTACATAGCAAAGTTTAATTGAAATTTAATTTCAATTAGGTATACGATCCTCCGTTACAATTCGCAAGAAAATGTTTATAATACTTAATTAAATATAACGAATTGCTTGAACGTTTCATTTGCATGAAACGATTCCAAACTTGCGCTCTTCGTTGAAAATAATAATAATACCCAAACAGGGGTAGTTCTTTTCTGTGTCAACGACAGATAACAAGATTTCTTTTCTCTGGAACGTCACTTTTTTTTTTCAAACGATTCCACGGAATAATTGCAAAGCACACAACAAGCGGATCCGTATGCGAATAGTGTATTAAGATCAGAGGAAGAAACCGGCGGAACGTAATCACCGACGTTGATTCCCGTTGTCGTCGACGTCCACCGGTGGAATTTATTGCAGCCACCCCGTTACCCCGCTTTCCTCCGAGAAACTCGGTGATTGGTAAAATACTGCGACGAAAACGCGGCCTTCTTTGTCCAGCCTAGATAAATAAATTTGAAAGTTACGACACGTGGAAAAGTGTGCTTTTGTCGGTGTGTGCCGCAAAGTTTGCGGTTCGTGCGTACCTTCGCCTAAACGATTTATGGTCGTTGTCACCTGAAAAAAAGAAAAAGAAAAAAAAGCGGATTTGGACGTGAAATATTTATCATCCCCATTGATATACACCTATTATGATGTATGAATATTTACTTAATTACCAATTTATAAATTATACAAAATATTGTGTTTAACCCTGTTAAGCACTCGGGTACTAATTTCCGCGTACTTGGAATATTGCACTAGGTACCGTCTGAAGATTGAATGTATTGCGTTGAGAGTCTGACTGAATCTTTATTATTCCTAATCTAACCGATGGTCTGTGTACCAACACTCTGGTCTTAAGCTAAGTCGGCCTTCTTATCGAGTCGTCCCTTCTCCAAATCTTCTAAAATTTGAAGAAGGGACGCGAAGGGAGGTTCTTAAAATTACCAAGTGACCAACCCTCTATCACCCCCTTCCATTGCGTCCGGAGCGCGTCACGTCCTTGGAGCGGGGGTGACGAAGCTGGTCCTTGCTGGATGGAAATTTGATAACAAGGGGGGGGGACTCGGCCAGGTCAACTCTGACTCTCCGACTCGTTCGGAAGGTCAGGTACCGAGAGGCCTCGGTAATTGCATCGGTTACGGAGACCCTTTGGGGGTGACTTACCTTGCCTTACTGACTGAACAATAGCCTATTCTTTAATATTTGAAGAATTCTACGTGCCGCATGTTGGCTGCAGACCGGTCTGCTAAATTAAAAATAACGGTTTGCTGAACTAGAAATCACGTATCATAAAATCGTCCCCTTGCTGTCCTAACAAACCCTCTACCGTCGAGACGCCGTTTTTGGGACGTAAAGCCCGATACGGAGTCCACGAAACTCCTCAACTTCCGGTTAGTTTATACATAAATATAGAACATTTCTGACAACTTCTCTTACCGATTAACCTTTATCACACATTTGCCTAATGAACGTTGTAGAATAGAGTGATTGGTTGGATTAATTTCATTTTAATATAAGAACGTCGGGTTCTAAATAGAATGGAAGAAAACAAAAAGGGTAGAATCTGCGGAGTCTCCCTCGACAGTTAGAGGGTGAAAATAAAAAATATTCAACGAGAAATTTTTCCATCTAGAAAAATCGAAGAATACCTTAGAGAATAACGAATGAGAATATTATTTTTGTGTGATAATACTTGATCGTGATACACGATCTATAATTGTACGATCAATTCTGACGAGATTTGATGATTCTTTGTTTCAGAAATTACTGTCATTCTTTCACCCCAAGTCGACGCGGGTGGACAAGTCCGACAACAACAATACGACCAACTCGACGACCAACAACATCCACAACAACATACCGATACACGAGCCTATCAACGCCACATCTCACGACGTATATCGTACGTGTACAATTTCGCCATTTGCATGAAATTGAAGCGCTGCTATTTCACTTAACGACGGGGTGCCTGAAAGGGAATAACAAATGATTCTCCAGCAAGCGAGACTCTTTGTTGTTCTTGTGAATATCCAAGTGATATTCTCTCTTCGTTGTGTGCTTTCAAACTGAATTATTTTTTGTGCTTTCTTTTTTTTTGCACACAACGAATCACGTGATTTGTACGTGAATCACGGCAATTCTGCGAGTGATTCTCATCTTTCTTTTTTTTTTTAATTTCTCAAGTGAAAACTCTTGACATCCTTTTCGATCGTTCCTGTGTTGTACAATTTTTGTCGTTTTTCTTTTTTCTTTTTCTGTGAAAAATGTATTCTTTCGAAGCAAACGCCTTATCGTGTAGATTTATAAAAGAAAGTTGTGATTATCGTTGAAAGTGATATTTAAAAATTTTTCAAATTTTTCACGAGGATCCTCGATACGATTTTCCATGATTTCTGTGTTGTATGATTTTTCTTTTCTTGTGAAAAATATTGCACTCTTGTATAAAGAGACACGTTGCCGTGTAAATTTACAAAGGAAAGTTACGATTGTCGTTGAAAATCATATTCGGTCGATTTCGTTGTATTTTTCACAAAATTGAAATTTTCCTTTTTCAAACAGTTGGAGTATTGCCAATGACAGCTCAAGAGGCACTCAAGTACTTCGGTTCGAAGCTGACGGAATTCGAGCGTGCGGAAATCGAGAAATACTCGGAGATTTGGTATCTGGGTCTGTCGGCCGCGAAAATTCACGGCGAGGAGGGGTCATCGCAAAATGGAGGATACGACGATGAGTACGGTAGTTACAACAAGATCCTCCACGATCATATCTCGTACAGGTACGTTTTCCATCGTTTTCTCTCTCTCTCTCTCGTTTACCCCTTTCTCCGAAAGAAACTTTCTTTTTAATCGCCCGACAGCTCGAAACGAACGCTTACTTTTGCCGTCGATTTCACGGTTTCCTATTATTATCATCGAGATTCAGCGACAATTAGGAGCAGTAAACGTTTTATGGGTTGTGCAGTTATGCTATTCTCTGCTGGTCGAATTAAGCAAAGAGGCAAAACGTTGCGAAGATTTCTTCGAACCTTTTAAAACCCGAGATTTCTTCGTCTTTTCTTCTCCGTTTTTTATTTAACAGTATATGTAATATCTTTCTTTTACCTTTCAACAAAACTGCGTCTGTGGACTCTTCTCTGTTGTTCTTTTCTTTCTCTTTTTTTCTTCGTTTTCTTCCATTTAATCGAAGGTCCGCGTGGACTTCGGATAAAATAAGTTAAGGATATCAGTTTCTCGGTGTAGATCAATTTTTTCTGGTTAATCTTTGTGTACGTTCAAGGTTGCACAACCGACTAATGTTATAAATTGCAAGATAATACCTGAAAAGCGAAGAGAAAAGCTTAAGACGATGCAACCAAAACGGTAAATATCGCCTTTCAGTCATGTTCGTAGCACGCAATCGTGTTCCACGTTGCTTTAGAACTCGCTGTTAATCAGAAGTAGAATTATATCGGGGAGTAATTATTCTACGCGAAACGAGATACGTTGTCTGGTAAAAAGCGAGCTTACAAGGTTCGTTCGTTTCGTAAGTGAAATGAACGCGAATTTATGGGAAACGTTCGAGAAAAACTAAACCGGAGATTCTCCAGGAGATAAACCACGTATTTTTTTTATGCATTTCTTTATAATCGAGGAAGTAAAGTGTGTATGATTTTTTGTTTACAAATCGAAAAGTCAATTTAAAAATGTTCCCCAAAATTGTCGCATATTTTGCAATTCTTTGCTTCTTAATCTTTCAATGGAATATTTCAAGGACTTCTCCAAAGAAACATTTTCAAAGGGATTTTCTGACAAGCTTTCTCATTTTGTCAACATAAAAATCACAGCTCGCAAAAAACAACGACAATTCCAAAATAAAAAAAAACTATGCTCTAAAAATGCGATAAAAAGGGATCAGCTACGAATATCAGAGAGAGAACTGGACACGAACGACGGTATCCTTACAAAAACGTGTCCCGATCGGAAAAAAGGAGAATCGAACATTCTTCGCCCTTTTCTTTCTTTCTTCTCGATAAATCGATCAATATTCGTAATCAAACGTTTCACATTTTTTTCTGTTCAGATACGAGATACTCGAGGTGATCGGTAAGGGAAGCTTCGGCCAAGTGATCAAAGCGTTGGATCACAAGACGAAACAGTTCATCGCCATCAAGATCATCAGGTAGGCGAACGTCTGGACGATCATGGTCGCTTTTGTCATCGTCGTTGCATCCTCCTCCTCCTCCTCCTCCCTCTCTTATTATCCGCTTCCTTTCACGCGACGCCTCGCGCGCGTATCCCATCCTCCTCCTCCTCCTCCTCCCTCTCTTATTATCCGCTTCCTTTCACGCGACGCCTCGCGCGGTCGTATCTGCTTTGTTCGTTCGATTTTAAAGTGACGTACGCGTTATCTGACGTCTTTTTCTTCTTTTTTCCCCTTCGCAGAAACAAAAAGAGATTCCATCATCAGGCGCTCGTCGAAGTCGAGATCTTGGAACACCTCAGGAAGAAAGACTTGGAGGCGAACGCGTCGCACAATGTGATACACATGCTAGAATACTTCTACTTCAGAAACCACTTGTGCATCACTTTTGAGTTAATGAGGTACGAAGCATGTACTTCATTCTTTTTTCTCTCTCTCTTCAATCTTCGCGCAAGAATACTATTTTTCACTCGAGAAGTGTTCTTGAGTTAACGTGTTAAGGGTGCTAGGCAAAGTAGATTGGTCTCATGGAAAGAGTAGTTAACCGTTTGAGTGCCACGGGTCATCGCTGAAATCTGATCGAGAAGTGCCGAATGACACTTTCGTTTTGATGTTGAAAAGTGTGCAAAAATTTGGTTTTTACATATTTTCACCGAATACGAGTGTTTTGAAAAAAAAAAACACTAAATAAAACCGAATTGATTACAGAAAGCAAAAAATGTTACTGTGATATGATTACGAGACTAAAGTTTCAGTAACGCTGATGACGCGCTAAAGAAAACGAATTGCACATTGCGCGATTATACTTGCGAGCGGTGGTGTTATAAAAAATGTTTTTATTTATGGATATGTTATTTCTCTTTTTCAGTTTGAATTTGTACGAGCTAATCAAAAAGAGTAACTACTCGGGATTTAGCCAAAGTCTAGTACGACGATTCGCCAATTCGTTAATTAGTTGCCTGAGACTGCTGCATCGAGAGAAGATCATTCATTGCGATTTAAAACCCGTAAGTATTATCTCCAATTTTGAAAACTCGAAACTAAAGAGAAATTTCAATTAGAACCGTACGGTTGCTTTTTTGGAAAAATCATTTTTATTATCGTCATTTGCTTATTCGTTCTATCCAAACGTACAATCATATCTAAAAAGAAAAGAAGAAAGTGTAAACCGTGGGTCACCGATATATATGTGTGTGTGTCCCACGCGTTAATGAATCAGCAAGGAACAAAGTAAATAGTGATGTAAACAGCAAAGAATGCGAGGGGGTTAATGGGCGAGTCTCTGCTTGCCGCCATTTTCTAATTCATCGTCGTCATTGCAGGAAAACGTGCTTCTGAAACAGCGGGGAAGCAGCTCGATTAAGGTGATAGACTTCGGATCCTCGTGTTACAGCCACCAGCGTGTATATACGTACCTTCAGTCCAGGTTCTATAGAAGTCCAGAAGTGATTCTGGGTCTTCCATACGGTACGCCAATCGATATGTGGAGTTTTGGATGTATTATAGCCGAACTCTACACCGGTTGCCCGTTGTTCCCGGGTGAGGATGAGATTGAACAACTCGCCTGCATTATGGAAGTTCTTGGCCTGCCACCAGAACACATTATCAATCATGCGTCTCGTCGCAGGCTTTTCTTCGGTGAGTAAAATTGACGTCTTATTCTTTTCTTTCTTTCTTTTTTTTTCTTCTTTTTTGTATACGATATACTCGTTGGAACAGGTAAATTATAGGAGTAGGATCTCCTTTATGAAGGACGTTAGGGTATGTCGGTAGGATGACGTTGTAATTCGATAGTTGAAAATGAAATGATCGTGCTTTCAGACCCGAAGGGAAGTCCTTGTAACGACGCAGTTTTCGTGGACTTTGTCAGCAGATGCCTCGAGTAAGTTTCCAGTGAACGTTTCCAACGTTTTAGGATACATCCTATCGTGTTCAAATTAAGATAAGGAAAAGGCTACCTTCCAAAGCATTAACCCTTTGCGGATAGAGAATTCTACGTACCCATATCGAGATACCGATATTATGGTACACATCAGCCGATATATTTTTATTGCTGAAAAATATGTGAGTTCGTTGATTATTTTTATAGCGTTCTGTGAACGCATATATATATATAAGTCCATCGTCCTCAAAGGGTTAAAAAGAGGTTATCACGTTTGGAAGAATCTGAAGCATCTCGTTAACCTCTTGAAAAACTTCGTCGTTCACGTCGTGTTTACGAAATATCTCTAACGAAAGCGAATTTTCCTTTGCGGCACAGGTGGGATCCAAAGAAGCGCATGACCCCCGACGAGGCGATGCGTCACGAGTGGTTGACCACACCCTCCTCTATCATGACAGCCTGGAATAACGCGAAGAAGCGCATAGAGGAGTCCGAGTCGCAGTCCGCCGACGTGGAAACCGTGAGCGTAACTGTGAGCGCTCCACGGCAACGCGCTACCACCGTCGAGCATCCTCCGTACTACTCGATGTTCTACCGTTATCGCAACGGACGAAGGGGCATGGAGTGGGGCGTGGACAATAGGACCGAGAACACCGACAACGCCGACCTCGTGGTGAAGAGCAAGCTGAACGGGAGCGCGAGCAGCCACGCTCTCGCGAGTACCATGCAGACCACTACCTCGAGACACGCCTCGACCGGCGATATCGTCGCGAGTCTGGACCCGAATCTCGACGATTCCGGTACGTTTTTACCGCCGATATTGTGAAATCGGTTTTGCGCTACCCACTTCTAGATGCTTTCGTGCGTACCGTGTCGCGATCGAACAACACGCTCACTCTCCGATCTACACCGAGATAGATAAATACGATAACGTCATAATGTGTATGACACGCGCGAATGAACGACACGGCTATTATTATTGGTCATTTGCGTTCGAATGAATAAGCAACGGCGCAACGTTTGAAAAAGGTTGATTTGGTCATGCGACAATAAAAAGCGAATCACGCACATACGTACATACATGCATACATATACATATACATATGTATATGGTTGACCAACTGGTGGTGCGATGGATAAATTTCAGTTATCAAGAACGACGATAATAATGATTCTTTCGGGTACCATTAATACCAGGTCGTTCGTTGTATTACCGTCATGAAGTATATAAAAGTCAGATTAGATAACGGTGTGTTCGAAGAGTGAGAGAAAAACCCTTGGGATGATATATGACATCGAGACATGTAGAATTTGGCTGGGCTGTGGATCTCTCCCATGATCATAATTGACACAAAACAGGCTAGATTTCTCTTGCTAGTCTCTCGGCATGCATTGAGCTATGAGGCCAAAACAAATCCGACGAGGCGCGTGCCGTGAACAACGAGCATGGTTTAATAATATAGTAGAAAGAAACACACAGAGAGAGGTAACGCGATCGTTTCGATGAAGATGAAAAAAGAAACCTGATCCCAGCACAGCCCAACGTCACTCAGGTATAGTATTCGATAAACGACGCGCGTGCACCAATATCGTAGAAGTTGACCGGTCGTAGACCCTCCCTGCCCAAGACGTTTGTCCTTTGTCCTCCAAGTATAGCGAGAATTTTACTACTCTAGCCGAAGATGCGTTCATGCGAATCGCGTCAGGGAAGAGGGTATCGTTTGCACACTTCTTCCAACAATGATGACGATGATCACGTCGATCAGTCTGACCCACGTTGTCCATCTGACTTTCAAAAATGGACGACGCGTTTCCCAATTCGCACACACAGTATTGCCTCCCTGTGTAAACTGTTAGAACGTATGATAATTATACATGAAATAAATAGGAGCCAGACGATCGTCGTGAGAGTAGACTTTAAACGTGTAAGAAAAGTTCGATTCGCCATCGACGAGCGCAAATTAATGTTACAATTAACTATACGTATAAATATAAATATATATATGAGAAAATATTTACGAGGATATAGAGCAGAGCGAAAGGGTGAATGCGATTTTAACAACGAGACTCCCGCGCGATACATTTCTCATCGAATGCAATATTAAAAGAGCATCGAATCGCGGTTAAAAAAAGAAACCTGAGGAAAAAAGTTGAAAAAAAAAGAAAAAAGCAACTAAAAAAGAAAAAGCGGAAAAAGAAATATAAGTAGAGAATCTGAGTCGTCTGAAACCCTGTGGCAACAGGGTCGTACGATTAATAATGAAACGTCAAGGCAAACCTCGTAGAGAGAAGGAGAGAGAGAGATAGAGATAGAGAGGCAAAACTCCTGGAAATGAAGCGTGTGCCCCAGTTTCACGAGGCCTGAGTAGTCTTATTGTGATATTAATCTACCACTGTCTTTTACGTAGATCTCTGATATTAAGAAGTAAACAATCGTTATAATTAATGATTTTTTTTTTCTCTTCATTCTTTACTATTAATCATTATTTTGTTTTCTCTTTATATGATTATCGCTCTCGCTATTATCGCAAGAATTATAATAATTACGATATTAATGAATTTATCCAATGAGTAAAAACACACGCAGAGAGATAACATATTGTTATTATTAATATTATTATTATTATTATCGTGTAAGAGTTGTACAGACAATTGATTAAGCCCTCAAAATCCAGCAGTTCACAGCATGCGTTCGAATTTTTATCCACTTTGTTTTTTCTTGTTCTTATCGTTAAAAAAAAAATCCCCAGTCGCTTAAACCTTCTCGATCACCGTTTTTCTTCGCATGATTCTTTTTTTCGCCGCAACTATAGCGATACCGTATGATGTCGCTTATCGAAAAGGACAAAATGGTCGTTTTCTTATTAATCGCTTGAATTCTCGTCTATTTATACATGTGTTTTTAACTATGTTAGCAAACCTTAATCAGAAGTCGCATCTCCTCTTCGCGTATCGAGCGATTATACATTAAAGAAAAGAAAGGAAAAATTAAGATCAAGGGTATATTCGCGACAGCGCGAACGAAGTACGTCATTTTTTAGGTTAATGCGAAGGATTTGAAGGGATAACCTCTGTACCGTGTAACATACGTTGCCTGAGATACATACACGCATACATACACATACATAGATACAGACAAAAACTAAAATAAAAGAAGAGTTTCCGCTCGGTGTTCAAAAATCGTGATGAAAGTTCAACTAAAAAAACGAGAAGAGAATATACTCGTAGATATTATGGTAAATATCATTAGCGTTATTCGTACAACGTGTAACTGCTCGTTATTAGCGACCCGTCGAACACACATACATACATACACACACACACAGCCGTGTGTGCTCTTATTTTTGCGTTTCGACTGGTCCCCTGAGATACACATATACATACACATATAAAGTAAAAGCTGCTTCTTCTTATACGAATTTAAGCGTAAGTTGTCTTCGAGCATTTCGTCGCTGAGCCTCCTCGAGAGGCAATGATGGGTTCGGATGTTCAGAATCGTGTGTAAAAAGTGGGAGAAAAAGGATAATTTGCGTGACAAAGACTGAAGTAATAAAAGCGTCATTACGTAGAATTTTATTTAAAGGCTTTTATTTGAAAGTGTAACGTCGATCATTCATAACCACGATAAGATACCATTTTTCTCATGTTGTACATTTTATTGTATTACGTTAACCGAATGATCACAGCCTGAAACGCATTTTCTATTTCGACGATTTTATCGCGTCCCGAAGAGAATAATTTGATGCAATTCGATCACAAAACAGCGGCAGTAGCATGGGTTTTTAGTAGTTACGGCAATCTTTGACAGTTGTGCATGTTTCCTCTGACAAGATACGCCCTTGATACGTTCAAACACCTCGAAATAATATTTTTAACAAAGCACACACTTTTTGTGAGTGTTCGCTTGGTAAAGCTCGCGTCAAAATTTCGTACATTACGTAACGGAAGACAACTTACATCGTAAAAAGAATAAATGGGAGCACTATGAAATATGTTAAGGACAGTTTAATAGTTATAGGATGAAGTATTCAAAGGATATAAAAATACCTTCGTTGTTTTTGATGTAGAAAAGAAGAAACTATTATTTACAATGAATGGAATTTATATTTCAGACCACCAGAATTTTCAGTGTTCTTTCTGTTTTCTAACCATGTTACAAAAGTAGGAAGAAAGGACTCGAACAGAGAATAATGAAAATTTAAATTAGAATTCTCAAAATATTACGAATCACTTTTGTAACAAATTTTTCATGCTTTCGGAAACAATTGAAACACATTCGGATACTTTTGTTCAAATACCTCATCCTACAAAACTTTATTGTTTGAAAGGGAAAAACGAAAAATGAACCCGCATTTTATGCATCCACCTTATGTATTGCACGTATTTGAAATATTTGGCGGGTTCGTAAGTCGTCCGAAATCAGATTGGTTGATCAGAACGCGTAACGAACGGTTCTAAATTCACAGGCGTCACCGGCACGAGACTAAGAGAGAGAGCTGCCCATGGAAGCACTTTGTTCGAGTGTAGGCAGAGCGGCGAGTCCAACATTTAACGAGCGTAGTATCTTAAGCCAACGTACACTACACATACATCCACTCTCACATACACACAGATTTATAGTGAAACAAGAAATATCAAATTGTGTATAATAACTGACATTAACAAGACGTGTGTGCGACCGTATGCATGTGTGTGTGAGAGCAGCAAACGCAAGAAAAGGAAAGAAACAGAAAAACAAGAAAGGTACACCAGAGAGAAAGAGAAGGGAGAGAGAGCGCGAAAGAGGGTGTGTGTGAGAGAGAGAGAATGTGTTCAGCGAGAATGCGTTACATTACCGCATATACATATATACATATACGATTTTACGTGTTAAGTAACCCACGCGGAAGCGAATAAAAAACGAGTTAAATATAGGGTATCCATTTAGAGAATAAATAGAGAAGACCGTTCGAACAACGTAGCTCCAGTAAAATGGAGTCCCCCCTGCTCCCCTTTACTCTTCCCACCACCCCTGGAACTGTACAGTCGTGTGTCGATTAAATCGTTCGCAGAGAAACATTCGACACGATAGGAAAACAATTTTTCTTACACGACGTATATTTATCGTTGAAATCATAAATGTCTCTCGCAATGATAATCTGGTCGTACAATGTGTTCCATGAATTTATTGTTCATCGAATACGATGAACTGCCCGCTATTTTGCACGCGAGAGTATGTTCAGTGTCCAATGTAGAAGTAAAGGCATTAAGTGCTTAAGTGAATAGTTACCAGGCATTTAATCGACGAGCGTGCCAAGCGAAAAAAAAAAGGAACATTCTATTCGCGTTGGTTTTGACATGTGTGAACGGTTTAATGGAAGTCAATTGAACACATTTGGCGCGAAAAATTGCGAGCACGAAAAACACGAGAGGAGATTAAATTGACAGAGAGCCAGATGTGTTTCTGTTCCCTCTGTGCTTTTTCTCGTACGAATTGTTCGCGCCGATTGTACAGTCTCCTTGAGTTTTTAGTTGTGTTCACTATATTGTATACAGTGGGATCAAATTACATGCGTAGGATCGACTAATCTACGTAAAGTGACCGATTTGCGTTCAGCACGTGTATGCGCAGAATCATGTACTTGCGCATGCGTATGTGTGCCCACGCGAGACAAAATGTATGCTTAAAAGTAAACAAAACAAAAAAAAAAAGTGAAGTATACTTTCATTAGAAATAAAAAGAATTTAAAAAAGAATTATAGAACAAAGAGGTGTTTGAGCATGAATAATCAGTCGACGTATCCTCTAAAACGAAAAATTCTTATGTCAGATTGGATTAGAGAGAATCATGGCCGTCTCGTGATCCAGGTTTCTCCAGGTTGACAATTAGCCGGAATAACGTGGACGAACACACAGCAGTCGCTTTCTAGTCCTAGAAAACGTGTGTTACGGAAAGAAAAGGGGGATGGTCTCTAAAAAGGTCTAAACTCTACGAGAACAAAAAGAAAGAAAAACTCTCTTTCAGGCTTCAGCGTGGAATGCTCTTAGCAAATATCTGTTAGTACAGCGTGTAACTAATTATCGAGTTAACGACGTGATTAGATCTATTGAATTCAATTAGATAGTAACTGTGCATAACATGGCGAGATCGTTGCCATCGCCACGACCGTCCCTTTTCCCCCTCCCTCATTGCCGATGCAACATCGACACGTAGCCTTCAATCGATCTTATAAAATAATCATTCTTAGTATATCCCGATAGGACAATCACGAACGACAGTTTTGTGTTAGAAAATTCTTGTAGTTAAGCATTTATAAAAATTCTAGTAGTAAATATTATTCTCTTTTAACAAAATCATGGACTTGTTTTTCTAAAATATATCAAATTTCCCGAGTAATCCTAAACTGCAATACTTTCTAATTGTTTTTAGAGCATGGTTACGGAATTATTGTGTTACGTTTCGAAATATTTCTTGAATCGAGTCAAGGCTATTTTTGACAAGACCACACTCAATGATCAAAGCCTTAGCTTGTTCGGCTAACGGCATGATTACTGTCTAAGAACGCAAGATAGAACTACAATAAGAACAATTTGAAGAGTGCAGGTGTTCGGAAAGCAATCAAAAATAGTAATTGTATAAATTAATTTAATTGAAAAATAGCAATTTTTCCAAACTAATTTTACTCTGGAAAGCATTTCTGAAGCACTAGTTTCGAAAAGATGACGTATACTTTTATCAATAAACTCTTAAAGTACACTTAGAAACTGAGAATGTAATATTACTTCGAATTTCCACAAAATATACTTCTCAATGATTTTATCGATTCTATGCTTTCCTGGCAACTCAGTTCAGGATGGTAATGTGAGAATGTTTAACAACTTCTTAATGATATTGTGTGGATGTTGCGTTCTTCGACAGCTACTTTTCGATGTTATTCCAAAGACGCTGTGCTTACCTGGCAGCTGAGTTCCTGGTTGACGATGATGTGTTGGTGTGAAGGCTCGAAGGACCAAAATGTTACCAAATGCGATGTTACTTTGGAATATTGTACCGTGATTGAACGTATATGCATATAGATATGAAAATTATTAATCAACTTGTAATGAGCTTTGCAAAAAAAGAAGAGGTGAAATATGATGGAAACGGGAGGGGGAAAGGATATTCACAGATAGACGAAATATGGAAAGGAATGCGAGGAAGAGAGAGTGAGAGAGAGAGAGCGCGCGAGAATGAGAGCGAGAGAGCAGGAATTGATAATGATTTGTAACTCGGCGTTGAACAGCAGGGAAAGACCTTGTTATATCGTGTAAGTACGAGTTCGTCAATTTCTGCCCAACTTAATTATAGTGAACGAAGAGAAGAATTGCTAATAATAAAATGATTATGATAATGACATTAGTATATGTAACTATACAATACTGAAGCATCATCATCTTTTGTATCATTTGTTCGTTTGTTTTTATCTTACTGCGTTTGTCTTTCATTATTAATGCAATACCAAGATGACTCGGTTTCGACACGGTATCTTGTGTGTAAATATATACTAATAAAAAATACAAACATAATACCATTGTCTTTGTATCATTATCCCACTGTCAAGATGTTTGCTAAATAAGGATAATAACTGGAATCATCGCGCTCATTCAGGTACGTTTTAGGATCAATGTTAAGATGGTTTATTTAATGTATTGGTATTAAATACATAATTTATATGAGAAAGAAACGTAGTACGCTCAGCGTAATAATAAGTACAAATTACCTGCAGTTATTACACTGATCATTTTCAATGTCGATAAAAATTAAATAAAGTCGGAAATCGGTAAAAAAAAAATTATGCCTTGTATACAAATGAAACAATGCTCGATAAATTTTAATAATACAAGAAGAATAGAAAAGAAAAAACAAGTAGAAAGTCATTTTAGAGCAGATTACATCGTTTCTGAGATTTTTAACAGATAGAAGGCACAGGATGCAATGTTACATACATATACATACAATATAATTAACATTATTCAGCATATGTACATTTTAGTACTTTATCTGAAATTGCATTCCTTTAGGATATGCATTCTACAAACGTAAATTTCTAGTAATATATTAGTAAATGACTTAAGTAGCTGCTGGAGATCATTGCATGCATAAGAATAAACACAGATGTATATGTATGCTAATTTGCATTTGATTATTCGAAACCTTGAGGTAAAAGTCAAAATCTTGTTGTCCCAATGCTACCTCCTTCTTTCTCCTTTTTGTGTCTTTCGTTTTTCCTTCTTCTCTTCTCTCAACTGTTTTTGTTTTTCTCTAAATTAAAAAGGTATGTGTGTATACATCAACAACAATACAGTCATAATTTTTTTATATTTGACATGATGGACAATTTATTATAAACCTACCTGTCTTCTTTGTCCTTCTCCTTTTTCTTTTGACTTTCTAACTTTGCCTTTCCTCTTTTTTCTCTCTCCTGTTGTATTATTGCAGCTGCATTTGTATTCTTCTCAATTCCACAATCTCCTCCACTTGCACCATCCTCCTCTCCATCTCCTTCACTGTTTTCTTCATCTGACATTTGACTATATTGTGCAAGAATCACATCCCTTATTTTCTTCTCTTCCTCTGTGTAACTTTTTTGCGTCGTAGTCGGCAGAGACTGAGATTCCAGCATTCGCGCCAATCTGACATCCACATCTTCCACTGGTACTTTTGCAGTAGAAACCTCTTCAACAGGTAGCCATTCGGCCCAAGCTTTCAATATTTCCGTCACATGTTTACTAATGTTATCGTCCTAAAAACCAACGACATTAAATATTATATATCACGAAATGAAAAGTGTTATTCGTAATGTCATTCAATTACATGTTACAGAATATCGCCGAATTATTGGGATCCTAACGAATACGGCGAATATGTCGACGACATCTAAGCATGCATGCACGAACATGAAATGCATAACGTGTCCAATTTGAGGACACACATACTAGTTGACGACAGAAAGAATAATAATAGCACTACTGTTATTTTCGACCAGCTGATAGACATCGGCTACGAACAGCAAGCATATTCTAACCTCACAATCCATGTGCTCCTCACCGTTATGCCCGCGAGTATGCTTTCAAGGGCTTCGGTCTTCTCATCCTCCGTTTCGTCTCCCTCTAAAATTCCTTTGATGTACGACCCAAATACACCTTCGTCAGTATTTAAAGCCTGCAATTTCTTGCTAAGCCAACTGTCGAAAGAATTCGTCGCGACCGCCATGTTCGCCTTTTTCAACTTTCCATGTCTTCCAGTTGGCAACACGCTCAAAGCCGCACGCCGCACTGAACGTTTCTAATAAATCTCATACAAGTATAATTGCACGTTAAAGAACTTCGAGAAGCTCGTTATCAAGGAATATATTTTTTTCACAACAGTATCATTTTTTCCATTATGTTGCTGCTCGTGAAAAGTTCAATTTGTTAATTATTATAATTACTCTTTCCTGTGCGCATTACGCGCGATAAGTCTGAACGCAAGTATCGAATTACAAAAGTATATTTTGGGGGAATATAAATAGTGATTGTCAAGCCAAACTTACACTGAATAATGTTAAATTAAAATATTCAAAGGGTTTACATAAAATAACGGTACTGCAAGATATTGCAAAGTGTGAAATTGGAATATCCAAAGAAAGAACTTCTTATCTTAAAGAGTAAAGAATTGTAAGTTAACAAGCTATCTTTAAATTATGTAATAATGTTACAATCACAGACGATGTTCAGAATAGACCTATCATCTTCTGAGACTTTATTATGTCTCACGTTCTGAAATAGCGATCGTGTAAAAAATCAGAGGTTTTGTTACGCCCTCTACGAGAGTAGAGCGGTGAATTTGGGAATTATATGCAATCCAACCATCGAAGATGGTAAAGTCGACAAATAAAAAACATTCTCTTTTCTTAAATCTGCATATAAAGATATTATACATATTTACATAAATATATTGGATTCCGTGGAGAGAACTTTGACGATCACTCGAAAGCAATAGGACACACACATGGGATGAATTATTTACTAATAAAAAATTATGTTCTCATATCTTTATTATAGTATAATGTATTAAAGATCACCATCTCGCGTTTGGCTTCGCGAACTAACGACTCGTTACTAGCATAACAGAATATAAACAGAGGTATTAGACAAGGAAAGCACTAGTGTGCGACAAGGACAGAGAGAGAACGTTTCCTATTGGCTGGCGGGCCGATAGACTCCATCTTGCAGAGCCTCGATCAAGTTGGCCTGTGAAAAATCATTAATAACTCGATAATTACGATTATTTTGTGAACTTTTAGAATTGAAGAATGCAGTGTGGACCTTCAGCAACTTTCTCATATAGATTTTAGTGCTCTAAACCCTTCCAATACTTAGTTATTAATAATTTTAGCTCGGAATGTCGGGAACGATACCGCATACCGTTAAGTACATTTGCGGTTTTTCAGTAATTTCACAGCTTTCTACTAAATTCTCGTGCAACTAACTATACGCATCTGAAAGGCAACTCCTTTAGCTACATTCTCATATAACTTTTATTAATATATTCGATTTAGTTTACGAGTTATTAAACATTATGTGAGAGAGTCCCCTATTCATCGTACTCCAGTATAGTCAACTGTAATGAACAATTGCTAATATCTAATAAACCATACTACTTACGGTTCTAAACTAATTGCAGAATATAAATAACAGTCTATTCTATATTCTACATGCTTGAAAGTGCATAATAAATCATGCTTTTCCATTGAAATAATGAAAATGCATTACGCTTGAATGCGACGGGTGTAATACTCACCTAAAGAATGTTAAATAACTATCAAACCATAAGGGATATGTTAATAAAAATTATATGAGAATATAGCCAAAGGAGTTACCTTTCAGACGCATATAGTTAGTTGCATGAGAATTTAGCAAAAAGCTATGAAATTATTGAAAAACCATAAAAGTACCTGACGGTATGCGGTATTATTCCCGACATCACGTACTAAATTGTTAATAACTAATTATTGAAAGAACTTAGAGCCTTAAAAATTATATGTGAAAGTTGCCGAAGGTCCACACTTCATTCTTCAATACTAAAAGTTCATAGAATCATCGTAATTATTGAGTTATTAACGATTTTTCCCTGGTCGACTTGATGTTGCGTAAGGGACTGTCGCATTGTTCCCGACAACTCGTGCAACAAATATTAATAACTAATTATTGAAAGGACTTAGAGCCTTAAAAATAATATGTGAAAGTTGCCGAAGGTCCACACTTCATTCTTCAATACTAAAAGTTCATAGAATCATCGTAATTATTGAGTTATTAACGATTTTTCCCTGGTCGACTTGATGTTGCGAAAGGGACTGTCGTATCTTTTCTGACATCCCGCGCAACAAATATTAATAACTAATTACTGAAAGGACTTAGAGCCATAAAAATTATATATGAAAGTTGCTGAAGATCCACACTTCATTCTTTAATACTAAAAGTTCATAGAATCGTCATAATTATTGAGTTATTAATGATTTTTCATCGACCGGCTTGATTTAGGGCCTGGGAGGTGGAGCTTAGTGGCCCGCGGGCCAATAGGAAACGTTTTCTCTCTATCCTTGTCGCACACTAGTTCGTTCCTTGTCTAATACCTCTGTTTATATTCTGTGTTCCTAGTAATGAGTTGTTAGTTCGTGAAGCCAAACACGAGATGACGTTAATGTCGCCTTTCAATATTTTCTGTCCTTATCTATCCCTATTGCTTTCCTTGTCAAACACACGGCACTATTGCTATCCTTATCTACCGCTATTAGTATCCTTATCTCTCTTCGCTATTGCTATCCTCGTTACTTTTATTGTATTTAATTGATACTTATAATAAATTTCTAATTGTTTTAACATTACTAATAGGGTAGATAGTAAAATACAGTTTCTGCTTTATTTTCAAAGATTTTAATTATAGAAAAATTAGTATTTCCTGTCACAAAACAATTTGGATAGTTGTTTATAATTATTGGAAGTCTTACATAATATTATTGCATGCTTTAACTTAACGAAACAGCTTAATGTATTCATTTCACATTGAATTAACAATTGTATGCAGTAGATTAGTTAGAAATTGTTTATAACTTTTATTAAAAATTGAGAAATTAATGTTCTGTTTGTATGTATAACAAATGAAACTTTCAAGCTATCACAGAACAAACAAATGCGATTATTTGTCAAAGAATCAATGATTTATTGTAAGTATTGTATGTTACAATATACCACTATTGTTTGACAGCATTTTACAGTCAATTTAATTCTCCCTTATACACCACGTCCATCTTCTTTTGCAAACATATCGTTATGGATATCGTTAGAAACGCGTAATAATCAAAGAAATCCCAAAATTCGATCGGTGAATGAGGTATTTTACGTGACGGGAATAAATAAATTTGCTGGGTGCTTAAACGACAATTTTTTATTTGGTTCAACACTTTATTTGTAATTTCATACTTATGTACATTTAGTTCTAATTCCAACCACTACTAACGATGTAATCTTATTCTATGCTGAATTGGTAACGTTGGAAGTGACATGAAAATGGTAAGGGGGCTCTAGAGCCCCCGTCGGCGTAGGACAGAAAACTGTATTGAGTGATAGGTTTATTCTGTATCTCGTCTGTGGCTACAATTTTAACAAAGTTGTGATAAGATATTAATGGTAAATAAAAAAATCGCTTATCGATGCGCGATAACAGTTTCTGTACTAAAAATAAATATTGCTCTTGGCTGACAAATCAAGTTTAATAAATAATTATCATTTGTGCAGCATAACAATCAGTAAACACATCTCGTTTTGTAGCATTCGAAGTATCTCCATGAAAATCTTATTTAGCAGCCAGGAAAGGTGTTCTTTTTTATATTATATTTCCACCTTTCACCGTCAGATGGTGATGCACACAATTTTACCAAAAATTAATTTTCTCTAAATTTAAATATTTACGAATATGTATTTATCGTACAACATAAGTATTATTGCTTAAAAGTCTCTAATTATATAATATACAAAGAATAAAAATCACTATACATAGCTATGCTGCGTTTCTGCGACAAACTTTGTAGTATCTACACATAATTTCAAATGAATCATATACCTACCCTTCTCCTAAGAAAATAATAATTTCTATATTTTTCAACCACAACATTGTACACGTATTCTACTCGTAATCATGCACCGTACATATATGAACCTCGATAAAACGAAAATGTTCAAAGAAGCAACATTGCATTCGTTCATTTCGCTCACCCTAAAATCCACTTTCCCTTATCATCAGCCAGTTCTGTCTCAACAACGATCCTGCCACGTATTTCGTTACCATCACGTCTCTATTGTGACAGTACTTTATCTCAGTTACTGTAAACGACTATCGATTCCAAGCGGGGATGCTAATTTAATATTGGAATTACTCTGCACTCGAATCGTTGTTAGTCCATCGCAGTTATTCAGGCATCGATACCGATCGCAGACGCATCGCGAATTCCTTCCTGACAATGTGGAACTACTTGCTTGCATCGTGCCTCGTGTTATTCGTGTCGTTGCTGTACCATTTTTATTTCAACGGTCCGGCCAGCATTGTCGAGCGTCCCAACACGCATTACGATTACATAATCGGTAAGTAGAGAAGCAACCTCTTCATCCGGTAGTGTCGATGACTGCGATACCGTTCGAGTTCTATCTTCACGTAAAAGGGAAGTGCTTGCAATGAATTCAACTAATCCTTCGATCTATGACCATATTCGGTCGATACAGGTTGGTGTAACGTCTCTGAAGGTTATGTGGCAAATCGGATTTCGAAGTAAACTTGGCTGATGCAATTTATGAGAAATATTGTAGTAATAAGTGCACATATTTTATATTTGTTTCGTCGTTTTTTACTCCTTTAAGTAGAAGGTAGGTTTCAATAGAGTTTTCAATAGATCGTGAAAAGTGAACGTTCACGTTAAGATATGCGTAATGTAAAAAAGAGTGTATTATGTCAAGTATTGTTAACTGAAACGCAGTTTTCAAGACTAAATTTGAGTTGAAGTTGGAGAATAGAATTCACGTTTATTACAAATGTAAAACTTGATTTTTTAATATCTTGAACATAATCTGCACCACGAGTGTGACACGTTATTATACGCGTAAGACAAGAGGTTAGGAGGATTCTTTCAGGCTTTGTTACAAGATTAGTATTAGTCATTACTGGTTAGTATTGGTCGGTACTTAATATTTGAATGATTTTACTGGCAAAGTTGGTGCTGGAACAGCAGGATGCGTACTAGCATCACGTCTTTCTGGAATTTCGAACGTGACCGTGTTGGTGGTCGAAGCTGGAGGACATTTTGGATGGGTGTCGACTGTTCCAATTTTGGCGCCAGTTATGCAAGGGACTGACGTTGATTGGTCGTATTCCACGGAACCGCAAATGTTCTCGTCGAAAGGATTTTGGAACAATGTAAATGGAAATCAGCCATAAAGGCTATTATAGAAATTGCAATTTTTCGTATTAAAATTATTTAAAAATTCAACAATATTTGTCTTCAAAGTTTCTACTTTAATTTATATACTCTTTTCGCGTTTACAATTTTATCAGAAGAAGTGTATGAAATTTTGTAAGAAATGCTAAAGTCGACGAAATTTTTGGGCGACAAGCGTCTATAATAATAACAACACTCGATCTCGTCATAGGTACAAAAGGTTCCAAGAGGTAAAGGGTTGGGCGGCAGCGGCCAGATGAATCATTTGGTTCACTCCTTTGGAAAGCCGGAAGATTACAAAGTCTGGCCTAAGGGATGGTCACATGCCGATCTACTTCCGTATTTTAAAAAGGTGTCCGATATCATGAACGTAATGTCCAGCCCGGAGGAGGAATATCTGGCGGAAGCTTTTCTCATGGCGGAAGAATCGTTGAAGTTGAATAATGTGACTTTACAAAAGGGGCTGTTCACTACTAAAAGAGGTTCCCGTTGGAGCACGTTTAACGCGCATTTACAAAACGCTTGGAACAGAAGGAACTTACACATTTTGATGAACACGCTGGTCTCGAAAGTGAGATTTTATCGTATCTTTATTTTAAAAATTCTAAAAAGCAGAACAATTGTTGAAATAATTTGTTAGAAATCGATAGATCGAAACGAGAAGATAATTGTTTATTTGTAATTCTTTTTTAAATAGTTCAACTTGCGGTACTTCTTCGGCGAAAAATGAAATTAGTAGAAATGTTTCAGAAGTGTTTTTCCTTGCGGGGAGAAAAGAAGCGGATCGGTGAATTGAATATGTTCCAGATACTTTTCAAAGAGAACTCAATCGCAGACGGGATCAAGGTGATTTACAAAGATGGATCGGTGGGAAAGATTGCCGCGAGGAAAGAGGTGATTCTTTGCGCCGGTGCTATCAATACGCCTCAATTGCTTTTGCTTTCGGGAATCGGGCCAGCCGAAGATCTTGACAAATTCCAGGTGATGGATCGTTGGATCTTTTCTTTTCTCTAGAATGAAATGAACAATTGCTAATATCTAATAAACCATACTACTTACGGTTCTAAACTAATTGCAGAATATAAATAACAGTCTATTCTATATTCTACATGCTTGAAAGTGCATAATAAATCATGCTTTTCCATTGAAATAATGAAAATGCATTACGCTTGAATGCGACGGGTGTAATACTCACCTAAAGAATGTTAAATAACTATCAAACCATAAGGGATATGTTAATAAAAATTATATGAGAATATAGCCAAAGGAGTTACCTTTCAGACGCATATAGTTAGTTGCATGAGAATTTAGCAAAAAGCTATGAAATTATTGAAAAACCATAAAAGTACCTGACGGTATGCGGTATTATTCCCGACATCACGTACTAAATTGTTAATAACTAATTATTGAAAGAACTTAGAGCCTTAAAAATTATATGTGAAAGTTGCCGAAGGTCCACACTTCATTCTTCAATACTAAAAGTTCATAGAATCATCGTAATTATTGAGTTATTAACGATTTTTCCCTGGTCGACTTGATGTTGCGTAAGGGACTGTCGCATTGTTCCCGACAACTCGTGCAACAAATATTAATAACTAATTATTGAAAGGACTTAGAGCCTTAAAAATAATATGTGAAAGTTGCCGAAGGTCCACACTTCATTCTTCAATACTAAAAGTTCATAGAATCATCGTAATTATTGAGTTATTAACGATTTTTCCCTGGTCGACTTGATGTTGCGAAAGGGACTGTCGTATCTTTTCTGACATCCCGCGCAACAAATATTAATAACTAATTACTGAAAGGACTTAGAGCCATAAAAATTATATATGAAAGTTGCTGAAGATCCACACTTCATTCTTTAATACTAAAAGTTCATAGAATCGTCATAATTATTGAGTTATTAATGATTTTTCATCGACCGGCTTGATTTAGGGCCTGGGAGGTGGAGCTTAGTGGCCCGCGGGCCAATAGGAAACGTTTTCTCTCTATCCTTGTCGCACACTAGTTCGTTCCTTGTCTAATACCTCTGTTTATATTCTGTGTTCCTAGTAATGAGTTGTTAGTTCGTGAAGCCAAACACGAGATGACGTTAATGTCGCCTTTCAATATTTTCTGTCCTTATCTATCCCTATTGCTTTCCTTGTCAAACACACGGCACTATTGCTATCCTTATCTACCGCTATTAGTATCCTTATCTCTCTTCGCTATTGCTATCCTCGTTACTTTTATTGTATTTAATTGATACTTATAATAAATTTCTAATTGTTTTAACATTACTAATAGGGTAGATAGTAAAATACAGTTTCTGCTTTATTTTCAAAGATTTTAATTATAGAAAAATTAGTATTTCCTGTCACAAAACAATTTGGATAGTTGTTTATAATTATTGGAAGTCTTACATAATATTATTGCATGCTTTAACTTAACGAAACAGCTTAATGTATTCATTTCACATTGAATTAACAATTGTATGCAGTAGATTAGTTAGAAATTGTTTATAACTTTTATTAAAAATTGAGAAATTAATGTTCTGTTTGTATGTATAACAAATGAAACTTTCAAGCTATCACAGAACAAACAAATGCGATTATTTGTCAAAGAATCAATGATTTATTGTATGTATTGTATGTTACAATATACCACTATTGTTTGACAGCATTTTACAGTCAATTTAATTCTCCCTTATACACCACGTCCATCTTCTTTTGCAAACATATCGTTATGGATATCGTTAGAAACGCGTAATAATCAAAGAAATCCCAAAATTCGATCGGTGAATGAGGTATTTTACGTGACGGGAATAAATAAATTTGCTGGGTGCTTAAACGACAATTTTTTATTTGGTTCAACACTTTATTTGTAATTTCATACTTATGTACATTTAGTTCTAATTCCAACCACTACTAACGATGTAATCTTATTCTATGCTGAATTGGTAACGTTGGAAGTGACATGAAAATGGTAAGGGGGCTCTAGAGCCCCCGTCGGCGTAGGACAGAAAACTGTATTGAGTGATAGGTTTATTCTGTATCTCGTCTGTGGCTACAATTTTAACAAAGTTGTGATAAGATATTAATGGTAAATAAAAAAATCGCTTATCGATGCGCGATAACAGTTTCTGTACTAAAAATAAATATTGCTCTTGGCTGACAAATCAAGTTTAATAAATAATTATCATTTGTGCAGCATAACAATCAGTAAACACATCTCGTTTTGTAGCATTCGAAGTATCTCCATGAAAATCTTATTTAGCAGCCAGGAAAGGTGTTCTTTTTTATATTATATTTCCACCTTTCACCGTCAGATGGTGATGCACACAATTTTACCAAAAATTAATTTTCTCTAAATTTAAATATTTACGAATATGTATTTATCGTACAACATAAGTATTATTGCTTAAAAGTCTCTAATTATATAATATACAAAGAATAAAAATCACTATACATAGCTATGCTGCGTTTCTGCGACAAACTTTGTAGTATCTACACATAATTTCAAATGAATCATATACCTACCCTTCTCCTAAGAAAATAATAATTTCTATATTTTTCAACCACAACATTGTACACGTATTCTACTCGTAATCATGCACCGTACATATATGAACCTCGATAAAACGAAAATGTTCAAAGAAGCAACATTGCATTCGTTCATTTCGCTCACCCTAAAATCCACTTTCCCTTATCATCAGCCAGTTCTGTCTCAACAACGATCCTGCCACGTATTTCGTTACCATCACGTCTCTATTGTGACAGTACTTTATCTCAGTTACTGTAAACGACTATCGATTCCAAGCGGGGATGCTAATTTAATATTGGAATTACTCTGCACTCGAATCGTTGTTAGTCCATCGCAGTTATTCAGGCATCGATACCGATCGCAGACGCATCGCGAATTCCTTCCTGACAATGTGGAACTACTTGCTTGCATCGTGCCTCGTGTTATTCGTGTCGTTGCTGTACCATTTTTATTTCAACGGTCCGGCCAGCATTGTCGAGCGTCCCAACACGCATTACGATTACATAATCGGTAAGTAGAGAAGCAACCTCTTCATCCGGTAGTGTCGATGACTGCGATACCGTTCGAGTTCTATCTTCACGTAAAAGGGAAGTGCTTGCAATGAATTCAACTAATCCTTCGATCTATGACCATATTCGGTCGATACAGGTTGGTGTAACGTCTCTGAAGGTTATGTGGCAAATCGGATTTCGAAGTAAACTTGGCTGATGCAATTTATGAGAAATATTGTAGTAATAAGTGCACATATTTTATATTTGTTTCGTCGTTTTTTACTCCTTTAAGTAGAAGGTAGGTTTCAATAGAGTTTTCAATAGATCGTGAAAAGTGAACGTTCACGTTAAGATATGCGTAATGTAAAAAAGAGTGTATTATGTCAAGTATTGTTAACTGAAACGCAGTTTTCAAGACTAAATTTGAGTTGAAGTTGGAGAATAGAATTCACGTTTATTACAAATGTAAAACTTGATTTTTTAATATCTTGAACATAATCTGCACCACGAGTGTGACACGTTATTATACGCGTAAGACAAGAGGTTAGGAGGATTCTTTCAGGCTTTGTTACAAGATTAGTATTAGTCATTACTGGTTAGTATTGGTCGGTACTTAATATTTGAATGATTTTACTGGCAAAGTTGGTGCTGGAACAGCAGGATGCGTACTAGCATCACGTCTTTCTGGAATTTCGAACGTGACCGTGTTGGTGGTCGAAGCTGGAGGACATTTTGGATGGGTGTCGACTGTTCCAATTTTGGCGCCAGTTATGCAAGGGACTGACGTTGATTGGTCGTATTCCACGGAACCGCAAATGTTCTCGTCGAAAGGATTTTGGAACAATGTAAATGGAAATCAGCCATAAAGGCTATTATAGAAATTGCAATTTTTCGTATTAAAATTATTTAAAAATTCAACAATATTTGTCTTCAAAGTTTCTACTTTAATTTATATACTCTTTTCGCGTTTACAATTTTATCAGAAGAAGTGTATGAAATTTTGTAAGAAATGCTAAAGTCGACGAAATTTTTGGGCGACAAGCGTCTATAATAATAACAACACTCGATCTCGTCATAGGTACAAAAGGTTCCAAGAGGTAAAGGGTTGGGCGGCAGCGGCCAGATGAATCATTTGGTTCACTCCTTTGGAAAGCCGGAAGATTACAAAGTCTGGCCTAAGGGATGGTCACATGCCGATCTACTTCCGTATTTTAAAAAGGTGTCCGATATCATGAACGTAATGTCCAGCCCGGAGGAGGAATATCTGGCGGAAGCTTTTCTCATGGCGGAAGAATCGTTGAAGTTGAATAATGTGACTTTACAAAAGGGGCTGTTCACTACTAAAAGAGGTTCCCGTTGGAGCACGTTTAACGCGCATTTACAAAACGCTTGGAACAGAAGGAACTTACACATTTTGATGAACACGCTGGTCTCGAAAGTGAGATTTTATCGTACCTTTATTTTAAAAATTCTAAAAAGCAGAACAATTATTGAAATAATTTGTTAGAAGTCGATAGATCGAAACGAGAAGATAATTTTTTATTTGTAATTCTTTTTTAAATAGTTCAACTTGCGGTACTTCTTCGGCGAAAAATGAAATTAGTAGAAATGTTTCAGAAGTGTTTTTCCTTGCGGGGAGAAAAGAAGCGGATCGGTGAATTGAATATGTTCCAGATACTTTTCAAAGAGAACTCAATCGCAGACGGGATCAAGGTGATTTACAAAGATGGATCGGTGGGAAAGATTGCCGCGAGGAAAGAGGTGATTCTTTGCGCCGGTGCTATCAATACGCCTCAATTGCTTTTGCTTTCGGGAATCGGGCCAGCCGAAGATCTTGACAAATTCCAGGTGATGGATCGTTGGATCTTTTCTTTTCTCTAGAATGAATCTCTAAAACACCACTGAACGAATAATATATTTTTCATGCGAATGATACAAGAACGATTGTGAAATCTGAGAACAAAGGTATTTTTAGATACCGGTGGTGAGCAATCTTCCGGAAGTGGGCAAGAATCTTTTCGACCATTTTATGCTTCCGGTTTATGTTAATCTCGAGGCAAAAGTGAGCATGACTTTAGTGAAGCTACAAACGCTTCCTGAAGTACTCAATTACTTCGTTTTTGGAAGAGGTTAATTGTCTTTAATAGTCCTTTCTCCGTAGCTTACAACGCGTTATCTGTTTTATCATTTTGTTTCTTTTTGATCATTTCTCAGGATGGTACGCAACCAACGGTATAATGGCCGTTGGTCGAACCAATAATAGCGGTGTGATGCTTTTCGGAATGGGTTCCACCGAGGAGAGATTGTTAAAATCCATGTCTAATTACAAAACTGAGGTAAACACAGTTGTACAAATGTAAATGCAACGCTAAGTTTAATAAAAAACATTCTTACACTGTTTTGATAATCAACGATTAATAAATAAATGCACAGCCTTACAGGTCGATGTATCCATCGTACAACGACAGCTCACAGGAAGGATTTCTGTTCCTGTCGTTTTGTCTACAACCAAAGAGTCGCGGAAGCATTTCACTTAGGTCGAATAAAATTCGTCAACAACCGAGAATCGATCCTGCTTATCTTCAACAATACGACGACGTTCTGTGCACCCATCACGGTACACGGTTACAAAAACCGATTCTTTGCGATATCTCGAAGCTTCTCACGCGACCGTTTCCCTTTTCTACAATGCACTGTGCGTGACGAAGATGAATTTTTCAGCTGTAAATTTCGCGCTTCAGACGCTCGAAACACCAAAGTTTCGTGAATACGGCGCGAAGGTTCATCATCCTGATCTAGAAGAATGTCAACATCTGCCGCAAGACTATCGAAACGTCGAATATACGGAATGTGTGATGAGAGTTGGCGGACTCACGAGCTATCACATATGTGGCAGCTGTAGGATGGGTAGTGACGATCGTTCGGTCGTCGATGAGAAATTGCGGTACACGAAATTTCTATAGGACAATTTAGAGATAGAGTTGTCGTTTGTTAGATGTAACGACTAGTTCAAAGTTGGAAACAGACATTTCCATGAAATATAGCATATAATTTTTCTCAATTGAACGACGCAGCAAGTAACACCAGAAAGTTACAAGTATTTTTTTATTTCAGAGTGAGAGGCGTTAGTAGACTGAGAATAATAGACGCCAGTGTATTGCCATCTCCCATTTCTGGAAATCCGAATTCCGTCCTGATTGCCATGGCGGAACGAGCCAGCGAGTTAATCGCCGATCGTAAATTGAGTTAAAAAATAAAAATCCTGCTTATTGTGATTTAAATAGAAAAAGGAGTATATGGTCTGCAAGAGATCGTCGAGTTTTATTCATTGAATAACCGAGTTAATGTTAAACGATCCAGTAATACTATCTATATACATGCATACTGTTTCAAACAGTACGACGAATGAA